ACACACACACACACACACACACACACACACACACACACACAGACACATGTACATGCAGAAAAAGGCACAACCCCACAGCCATACAGTTTCACGATCAAATCCTGGATGGACACAGTGGATGTGAAAGGGTGAGGATGGCAGCGGCGCAGCAGCTGAATGGAAGAGAATGACTCAGCCGTGGTCACTTGTGAGGTTGCTCGTAATGATCTCTCTCATTCTGCTAATCGGCTCTGTGTCCGATCAGGCAGAGCAAGCAGCAGTGTGGGTTTCTTTCGCTAAAAGAAAAGGAGCCAAGTTATGTGCGAGGATCTGAAAATATCTGTGTAAATGCATGTTATCCTCTAACAGGGAGAGGATTTGTAGCTGTTGATAACAGTGTGTTTTCTTGCTGTGATGTGTGTTTGCTGAGTCAAAGCAGGCCGCAACCTCCACCTCAACCTCCTCTGAGTCCAGCATCCTGCCACCCCCCCCCCCTGTGCTGCCTCAATGAGATTGCATTGAACAATCACAGCTCTTTGGGGAGTTGACACATTCAGTTGTTCATCGATTTGTGGCGTTGTAATTAATTTTCTCTCCGTCATTGGCTCGCGTTGTAATATCCTGAGATTTGAAGCAGCTTGGTCTGCTGCAATCAATCATGAGACCAGGACAGAGCCACCATTTCTCTTGTATCATCTTGAATTATTCAGCAGCAGCTATGATCTAAAGAGACCGGATTCAGTGACCAATAAGTATTAAGAAAACATGAGGCTCATTTGTATGTTGCAGATTGTTAAAGTGATTGTTGTCATGGATCCTTTCATAAACCGGGCAATTACACTCCCAACATATGCAACCTATAAAGACAACTGATTCGCCTGGTCGATAATAATTGATCCGCTGGAGGTGTCCTGCATGAAATTAATATTATTTATTGTTTACAAACAACACAGGAGGTCCCCGGAGGACGATGCAGCTCAGGCTCTGACTGTCTGCATTCCAGCACAGACGTGTGGAGAGAGCAGGCGTATCAGCTTCCATCATGACCACAGCTTCACAGCCCCTTGTTTTGTTTATATCAAATTAAACTGCAATGCTACTCCAGAGAGATATAATTGACCACAGTCTCAGATTAAATGACTGTAAAGATCTTAATAAGCCATCAGCGGATTGCATATTACATTGCAAACCACTTATGAGGATGCAGTCCAATGAGAATGAAATTGAGGTTCAGATTTGCATGCCACAGCATTTTAGCCATTAATTACCATGCAAAATGACTGTATGATGATCAATAGTGTATAAATTTAATTAAAAGGAGCCAAGCAAATCCCAGTTGGAACTGAAGGTAATACTTTAACAACATGGCCAAGTCATACACCACTCCCACCGTTGTCTTGGTCTCAGTCTCTGTACAGACTCATATTTATATATGCACACTATATTTTTATACATACATAGACAATACCACATATCACCGTTATGTATAAGTACTATTAAGGCCACCATCATCTTTTCATTAGTAACCAAAATACATAGGCTGCTCCTCCACTGTGGCTCTAAATACACTAGTAAAATGTTATGATTGGGGTATGAGATGCATAGCTGTGACTTCCTATAATTGAATAATTTCACACGAATGGAGATAAAATAGCCTCAGTGTGATTTCACCATATCTGGTTTGTGCGAGTGAAGAGTGAGAGATGGAGAGTTTCAAAAACAGAGGGGCAGAAATTGCAGGGGAGGGTGGAAGGGTGGGTGGGCTTGTTGGATAGGAGGGCTGGGGGGGGTTGAAGGAGCCCACTGAAGGTCTCTCATTTCAGCAGCACAGACTGCTGATGAAGCTGAACTTCCAATATCCTACTGCTTCAGCTCTGATGATTTCTCAATTTTACAGATATGGCCAGAGAATGTGATTTGATGAAAATGTAAAATGGGATAACCACCAAATCATACGAAGTGGGCAACATTTTACTCCTTGACTATAAATCAAACGGAGACACTCCAAAAATTAAAGTTGATTCTGTGTCTTTGATTCAAAGTACAACTCTCCTGACTCAGAAGAAGAACAGATGTCCTATCACACCCTTTAAAATAAGATTCTGTTTCATGCAGATAATTTGTAAGTTCAAGAGCTCGATGGTTGAAAGGAGCCGGGCGTTGTTTGGGTGTGGCGCTCCAAGAGTTGTTTCGAACAGGAACTCAAATAATTTATTCATAGAGTGTGTTTCCATCCCAAATATATTCTCCTAATATAAAACACTGGTGAGCGTTTGGAAATATATGATGATTTCATTTTCTCCCAGCCTCTGGATCATAAATAAATTTGCATCCTGTCAGAAAAATGGACTAACTGACTTGTAATCCATCAAACTCACTGCTTAGCACTTAAACAGTTCAACACATGCTAACATGATTATTTTCTCTTCAAAGAAGAGCCTCACAGCTGTGTACTGTAATAAGGTGAGAGGAAGTACTAGTAGCACTTACTTTTTAAACACCTCGTAAAACAATGGAATAAAGAAGAGGAATGGACTCGATGAATGACACGTTTTCAGGCAGACTTTAATTCTGGGGCGATGCATTTGCATAAAGAATGAATTTCATTTCTCAGTTTAAATGTAAATGTTAAGAAAGCTCAAATAAAGAAAAACACCTTAGATGTATAATCGTGTCTAAATAAAGTGTCATGTGTTTCTCAGAAAAGAATCCAATTCCCTTTCCTCTTAAAATGGCATTCTGTTAATTCAGAATCCTGTTCAACCAAGAATAATATGACGACTTTACTGGAACTACTTTAGAAATGTGAATCACTGTTTGAGCGTTAGATATACCTCCTCACCAGACAATGGGTGACAGTGAAAATGTGTCAAGCGGAACCATTTTCCCACCAGTTTTTTTCTCATTATTCTCCAAAAAAAAAAGGTTTCCTGAAATATGCTTCCTGGAACGACATTCTCTTGTTGTTTTGAATGTGACATTGTGTAAGCGTGCATGGGAGAGGGGACTTTGAATGATGTTGAATGTTTTATGACTCCCTGCTTTTGTGTCAGTCCTTCCCCAGTGCTGCTCCGAGCCTCTGATCTGAGAACCTCATCTGCGGCTGCTGGATCTGACAGCAGGAACAGGAGGACAGGGGGAACACGGAGGATAGCCACACTTAACATTTGAGGAGGTTCGTTTCAAAATGCCATGTATTATCTGTTGGAAAATGTATTACTGAAGATCAATCTCTAAAAAAAGAAAATACATGAGTTTTAGTCTGCATATTGTTTCTGTAAATGTTATATTCAGCTAGACAATCTACACAATTTTTGCTATATTACCAGTGATTGAAAATGAAAAAGTACATTTACGAAATTACT